GGAGCTTCGAATCTTTAACAAAGCAGGGTTTTCGTGCCTAATTCTTTTTTCACTGCTTAAACCTGAAGGCAGTAGCAGGCGGCAGTGGGTTCACGTCCTTGAGGTCGAAGGCAGTAGCAGAGTGATGAAGGTCGTCGGGTTTCGAAGCCTAGGTTGAATCCGAAGGTTTTGGGGTTGGGTTAGACTCCATCATCAGGGTTTTCAAGGAATTGTTTGAATTTGAGTTTGGTTGATTGATTCGTGTATTCCTATGAAGCAAGATGATTCTTTGTTTGTTCGTGATGAACGAGAAGCCGGAGGTTTATAGAGGCAAATCAACGGCTAAAATGCGGAAGAGGGTCTTTTTCTCCGATTGATTTCTGCTGTCCAACTCAATTTTTGTGGCCAATCGATCAAAAGAAGTTTGAATCTCTTTTGTTGAAATTCGAGATCCCGGCTCACAACTCCCCAAAATCGGCAAAGGCAAGTGAGATTAATAAACTCACATATGGAGCTCAAAACCCCTGTTTGGCCCAGATGCGTAGACACGGAGACTCAAAATTCACCTCCAATCAGAGGACACTGGAGTCCCCACGTAGAACCTGAGACCTGCAAAACAAGGGTTAGTACTCTGACGAGCAAGTTAGTCCAAGGAGTGATAGAAATAAAGCATGTGAGTTAGGAAGGGAGTGATAGTGAGCTTACTCTTCACCACCAAAAATGGGGTATATATAGATAAGGTGAGGGGAATATTCCCTGAGAATATTCCTTTCAATGATGGGCTTGAGCCATTGTTAGAGCTTTAGCCGGCCCAATAAGCCATAAAGGAATATTATCGGACCCATGAATGGTTGTCGGCCCAAGTGAAGTTGCACCTCCAACAAGTGCCCCTGCCAAGTGTTAGTAGAGGAACACATATATGCAATAACAGGATTCAAATACAATACTTGGCAAATAATAGCATGGAGCTGTAGTGCGGACTCACGGGGGATCCGTCCATTCAGGGGTCTACCTGATCGGATAAACCTATAACCCTTCGTGGTGGCTGAAGAGTAATAACAGGTACTGTAATCGGAGTGCAAAACATTGTCATGCCGAACCCTTGTCGAGGGAACCGTCGCATTTGGTTACCAAACATGCGCAAAGATAAGCTGAAACCGAGTGCGCCACTTGTGTGGACACCAGAGGGAAGAGGCACAAATCATTTGAGGAGTTTATTCCCGATCATTCCACGCTATATGTCTCGGGCTCAGACACAAGGCTGGGTTAACCTCGGGATCGAACTTTTCCTTACATACCCGCTCTTGACCGATCACACAGCAGTTACAAACTTCTGTCTATTATGCCCCAACGAGGTCTATCCGTGTTGTTGTTCCAACCTATCACGTGTCGTCACAAGCCTTGACGTCACTCTTCGAGAAGAATTCTTTGTCACCTTCTTTCTTTCTTGAGCTCTTTGTTGGATCGGGAATAAACTCCTCAAACGATTTGTGCCTCTTCGCTCTGGTGTCCACACAAGTGGCGCACTCAGTTTCAGCTTATCTCTGGGCATGTTCGGTAACCAAATGCGACGGTTCCGTCGACAAGGCTTCGGCGTGACAATGGGCATGTTCGGTAACCAAATGCGACGGTTCCGTCAACAAGGCTTCGGCGTGACAATGTTTTGCACTCCGATTACAGTACCTGTTATTACTCTTCAGCCACCATGAAGGGTTATGGGTTTATCCGATCAGGTAAACCCCTGAATGGACGGATCCCCCGTGAGTCCGCACTACAGCTCCATGCTATTATTTGCCAAGTATTGTATTTGAACCCTGTTATTGCATATATGTGTTCCTCTACTAACACTTGGCAGGGGCACTTGTTGGAGGTGCAACTTTACTTGGACCGACAACCATTCATGGGTCCGATAATATTCCTTTATGGCTTATTGGGCCGGCTAAAGTCCTAACAATGGCCCAAGCCCATCATTGAAAGGAATATTCTCAGGGAATATTCCCCTCACCTTATCCATATATACCCCATTTTTGGTGATGAAGAGTAAGCTCACTATCACTCCCTTCCTAACTCACATGTTTTATTTCTATCACTCCTTGGACTGACTTGCTCGTCGGAGTGCTAACCCTTGTTTTGCAGGTCTCAGGTTTATAGACACCGTTGACTCTCGTCCTAACGGATTTCACCCTCGACACAAGGTAATCATAGTGAAATGGTTCAAGAATTGGCAGTGAACAATTCATTTTGTATTTTTTTGGTAATCAATTTAGTTATTGATTTGAGTTTCTCTGATGAATAAGCTTTTTTGTTCCAAATCGATGAGGGTATAGTACTTGACGATTAAGGAGGCTTGTGGAATATGGTTGATGGACTTTTCTCTACACTAAGCATACTTCTTATTCATTCACACGCACACACGATATAGTGTTGATGTTACTTTGTTTTTTTTTTTTAAAAAAAAAGTATTTCTTAGTTTTAAGATTTTTCACCATATTAGTTTTGAATAATTTTCAGTATTCATTTTCTAATCGTTTTTTAATAATGAACATAGCATTTATACGTCTTGTACGTTACAATCAAGATTAAAGAGATAAAAAAGAACTCTTTCAAGCCACAGACTTAAACATAGTACTCCCTCCATCCCATAACTATTGTCCAATTTGAGTTTTTTATTTCTAGTTCAAATTGTACTAAAAGTAAAATCTCCACTGGACAATAATTATGGGACCGAGGGAGTATTAGCAATATGTAACAAATGGAATAAGCTAGTCATCATCATACTGCCAGTTTATACTCTGTAGCAGCAGCGGCCTCGAAAATTCTTGAGCTCCCCTTCGTTTGAGTTCCATATCCAAAATTTCTCAGAAGATAAGGTTATTGGTGCATTTTTGTTAGCCATTTTGGGAGGCAACAACTCTTTTTCCGCCAAGGACATCAGGGCAAGTCTTGCTTCAGTTGGAAGTGATGTTGAAGATGACAATATTGAGCTTCTATTATCTCAGGTTGCAGAGAATGGTATCACTGAATTGATTGCATCGGGTACTTTGCTTTAGTTCCTTTTGGCGGTGATGATGCTCTCACATTGCTGCAGCAGCTTTTACAGGAGGTGGTGCTTCTGCCCTTGCTGCTGAGGCAAAAAAAAGAAGAGAGAGATAAATTTGATGATGATTTGGGCTTCAATCTCTTTGACTAGGAACATATATGTGCTTGGTAGTTACGATTAGCAGTTCATTCACTTTTATTTCTATCTAGATCACTAAGGTACCTTGAATTTTTTTGTGAGAGTTAGAGTGGCAGAGGAGATAGCATTCTTGTAAAGAAAGACTCCACTATATTTTGCCAGAGAACTTATTTTTGACTAATAGTATTTTCATAATGAGTGTAATAAGTTAGCTCATTATAGTTTGGTTTCTAAATCTGTCTTCATTTCAATAAAAAAAAAAGGGTAGTCATCGGCTACATCCAAATGCATTTCATTCTTGGGAGAAATGAAAAAGTTTTTTTTTTTTTCTAATACAATATGATATGATTAAAAGAATAAGGACAATTACGGTAGTGCATAAATAATTTAATTTTAGGATTTTGAGAAAATAAGTTACTGCCCTTAATACAAATTATGTAAAACTTATACCCCTTTTATTAATTAAAAACTCCCCACTGCCCTTAAGCCAAATTTTTCCCAAGTTTATTACCCTTAATATAGAATTTTTTTTAAGGGTTTTGATCGGCTTTTTTTTTTCCACCTTTAATTTCTATTCTGATTGCGGATCCTTTTCCACTCCCTCCTTTTTTTAGAATGTTCACGGTTATTGGTTAAGTTAAGCAAGTCCACTAATTTGTCCCAAAAATTACCATAATTTGGAGGTCTGTATTTGTTCTCCTATTAAATTGAGAAATAATTTAAGTGTTACCATAACTTGGAAGTTTGTATTTTTTCACTTTTCCATCTAGTTGCTGTTAAAAATCTAACTGTCAAATTTTCTACCATTTACTTTTTAAAAGAACAAGTTTGTCATTCCAATTTTTCTTTGATACTCCAAAAAAATAAAAAATTAAAAATTAAAAATTAAAAAATCAGAAATTAGTGTATTCTTTGTAAACTCTAGAGTAAGCCGTACTCTTGTAATTATTAGACACTTAATAATCTCCTTAGCTTATTTTTGGGTTTTTGGTTTTTGACCGTAAAATGAAAGTTTGGAGATTTAGGTTCTTTATCTTTATCGTGAGAGAACAAAAAACAAAAAAAAAAAAACCCGGAAAACAATGGAAGATATCGTAATTGATGAAATAAATTGATAAAATTGCTACTTTAAAAACAAAAGACAGAAATTAAAACAGAAATATGGCTTGTGAAGGTTCCAGTGCTTCAAGTATGGCAATTCCTAAATTTGGAGAGTGTTTATTAACAAGTTCATAAAAGCGATGCAGCTTTTGAGAGAGGAAAATGAAGGAACAAAAGAAACTTGGGCAAAATTCTATTTCTTCTAGTGTTTAAAATAACCTTGAAATCTGATTTTGAGCAACACAATCAGCAATTCTGTATCCTCGAATTAGCAGGAATAGAAAATCACGGCTTGAAATATTCAAAACTACAGGTCAATGGAATGGATGAAAGGATCTACCACACACTCACTCTACAAAATGCACCAGTAAACCAAAAACCTCTATAATTGCTGAGTGAGAGACCTATTCACATTGGTCATCACTAGATGGAATATTACCACCCAAGGGTCCAAATCATCCCTACACTTTATGGTATATCCTGTCAATGCCTTTTGCATAAAACTGAGTCTCCAAAAGTTTTCCCACCCGTATGTTTAACAGCAGAGATAACTTTCGAGTCCACAACTATTCTGGTTTGCTGTACTAATCACTAGCTGTTTTTACAACCAGGATGGTAAAGAAATTATAACTGGAGGAAGACAACTTGTCCAACTTCGGAAAAGTGCCTACCCATCCGGTTGCTGCAATTATACGTATTGCAAAATGTTATCTCTCAAGAACACAGCATATATGTGTAATCCTCATGCAGAAAAATTTTCAAGCCAGTCGAGTCTGAATGATAAATCATCCAATGTACCATCATAAAATTCAAAATCTGGGCTAATTGGTGGTGAATGTACCAAATGGTCCTCAACAGGTGCACTTTGTTCAGTTTGATACCCGTCTTTCAAATATAGGTCAAAATCTCCAACACCTTCTTCATTACCATTTCTTTGTGGAACAGGTATATTCATTCCTGAATCCTCCATCCCGGAATGGAGTGAATTACAGGTTACCACTTGCTGACTACTACCAAGACCTGGTTCAACCGTCATAGGGTGATTAAAGGCAGGATACAAAGGAGCAGGAGCCAAACCAGTATTAGATACCCCTCTTGGCAAATAAGAACCTTCAGGATGATGCTGCATCAGAGAACTCTGTGGCAGACTCTGAATGTAATAATCCGAAGGCCCATAATGAAATCCAGCATTCGGCATTACCATGTTCTGTCCATGGCTCGAAGGTATATGAGAAGGCTGAAGACCATAAGGTTCTTGATCCAACCTAGTATCAAAAGGTACAAGCTCCAAATTTCGAGTTAAAGGATGTTGTAAGGGCCAATCGACGGTGTAAATCTCCTCTACTTGCATATTATTTGCAGATGGAATAGATGATGAATGGTTCTGATGAAGTTCAGGTAAATGAGATTGGAACTCTCTCTCTTCGTCAAGTGAGCTTCCTGGCTGCCCTTCTTCTTTCTTCACATAGCCAGTATTCTCAGCACCTCTTTGATTAATATCATGCACCAAATCTCTTGGCTCAGCTTCAGGAAGCTCATTCAGAGATTGTGAGACCACTATATTATCCTCGCTTGATCTCTTGCATTTCTTTCTCTTGGGCGGCTGCTCCTCTATGAGTTCTTTTTCTTGCGTAGATTGAGATGTAAAGTTCATTGGTGTGAGGCTATCCTTAAATGAAACACAGCCAGCATCTACATCATAGTCAATGTCACTGCTAACTAAAGGTTTAATGTTTCCACCTTGGCCTTTAGATGGTGCTTCACTTATGCTCGAAGAACCATTCTCACTGCTTGGTTGCTGGATAAGAGCTTCCTCTCTGCTCAGCACACTCAACCAGATCAAGCTTTCCTTGGCAGTCATCTTATCTTGTAAACACTTAGACTTCCGTATCAACATTCTGATCTTTGCGATATTAGGTGACATGTGCTTTATGACTGCAGTAAGCACTCCAACTTTCCACATCTTCTTTAAATCATGTGGCTTCTTATATGGTGGTGTTTGACCGTTTGGCAGTCCTAGAATTGTCCACCATTCCTCATTCCCGGATGGCCACCAAGGCGGTGACACACCCTTCTCCAAGGGAAACTTCCTCTGAGGAGGGTCGCAATGTTGCATCAAGGATGACAATAGTGACCCCAAGGTTGCATCTTGCAAATCCTGCAGAAGGCATTTTGAATTCCCGTTGTGACTGCCAACTCCTTCTCTCTTAATGAGACATTCAGTTTCATACTTAGTTATTGCAGCTGGTCCATTCTTGTCAAATTTCACCTTCTCCTTCCACCAAGCCCTAACGTTATCCGAAGCACCACTAACTGGTTTTCCCTTCTCTGGAATAATCCCATAAACAAAGCCACGAGCATTGCAAACTTCCATAAGCTTCAACATGTACTTTAAGATCCCATCGTGAGCCCTAGACATCTTCTTGCGCCTCGCCTGATCAGAGGTCTGCTTCAAAGCCTTTTGCCTCTCAGCAGCTAGCTGTTCCTCAATCTTTTGCTTCTCTTTGAGTCTCTTAAGCTTGATTCGATCCTTCCACATCCTCCTCTCCAATTCTTCAGGTTTGATATCCTCATCGCTAACATCTTTTTCAGCAATATTGTCTAGCCTTATATCATCAACTTCAATGTCAGAACTGCTTCCAACAGAACCAGAAACCAACCAATTATTCCCAATAAAACTAATAAAACAAGAATCCAATGGTGCATTCTATTATGCCAGAAATAATTTGCAAAACAGGATCACAAGAGTCTAGAACTTCACAAAAGTGCACTTGAAACACCAGTTTGAAAAAGAAAACTTATTAACATTAAAAGGACTAAAGGCCATGATCAAACTCATCTCAATAACTTAACATCTTCAACATCGATTGAAAGCGGAAACAAAGTAAACATCATAACACGATTACAGCATCATGTTTTAGGATATCAATACATATCTATAACTCAAATTCCAATCATATAAACCAAATAATAAATATAAAAAACCCTGACATCCCTCGAAAACCAAAAGCCTGAAAATTCAAAAGGATTTCAGTGAATACCAATTAAATTTTGTAAACAGTACTGTTACACACAAGCTCTTACTCCCTATCCACAATCAAATAAGAAAAAAAAAAAAAAAATCCAATACAAACTTTGAGAGAATAATGGCGGCAAACTCACCTGATATCCATCCCAATAGCTTCCCTTAAGCGTATCAGTATCCAATTCCCACCTCAAAAGCCCCCGCAAATTTCTGGGGCTTTCCTGTTCTTTTATGCTACACCCAGAAAATTAAACAAAAAAAATAATTCAGCTGTGGCGAAAAAAGAGGAAAAAAACACCGCTCTTGCGGAAATTTTTTTTGTGCATATACGGGGGTTTCGAGGCAGATATATAGAAATATAAAGAAGGGAGTGAGGATTGCGGAGGATGGAGTGAAATCAGAGATTTAAAGGGTTTAATTCAACTAAGAAAAAATTTAAAAGAAATATTTTTCTACCACTGGATGATAGAAAGGAGAACCTGGAACCTGGAAACTTAAAACGGCGGCTCAAAAGTATAATGGAGAAACAATTTTGGACATGAGAAGAGGGTTATGACATGATCCTGATGTAGAAAACTTCCCTTACAAAGTTCTTGTCTTTATGCTTACATACAAATCGCAGCATAAAACCCTTGTGTTACGGAAAAAGGGAGTTCGATTTTTTCGGGATTATGTCTTAAATAATACTAGTAGAAGTTTTGATTTATGCATTTTACACGGCTCTTTTACTGCTTATATGTGCAGAAAAATTATTGGGTACAGATGTTGTATCCTGATTTTTAGTAGTGCAAGTACTAGCACCCCCAATTTTGGTAGTATATCTCCTGTAAAAATTATCTCTCCTCCCAACATTACTATTTTACCCTATTATTGTGTCTGGCTGCATAATCCGTACTGAATAATTTCTCATATATATATATATATATATCTTACTATATTAGAAACAGAAACCACACTTAAGAGAAAGCACCATCATTTGTCATGTGACATTTCCGCATCATATTTTTAAAATAAATTTTATTACCACATCTCCTAAATTTAAAAGGCAAATGCAGTCTAAATTCACTTCCAACTCCTATTTTCGTCAAAAAAAAAAAACAAACAAAAACAACCACAAGTTCATAAAAAAACCCAAATTCTCATCCCCATCTCCACGACAATCGACTCATTAATCAATCCCTTCTCCACAATTAAAAAAAAAACAAATTCCTCATCAATCATCAATTGAGACTATGTGGTGAAATATACTCATTTCCTATTAGCATGTTCAATCTTTTTATTAGTGATGATCAACTACATCTTAATCGGATAAAATTTCAATTTCAAAAAATATTATCTTTACCTCTCTATATAAACACAAAAGAAAAAAAAATTCTCATTGATCTTGCTTCGGCCGTTGTGCTAGTGCCATTACAGGTATTAAAATTTAAATGATTTTATTTCCACAGATCATTGGTTTGGCTTTTATTATTTTTTGTTTTTCCCGTTCAAAAATAGTGTTATTACTATTATTTTTATGTGTCCATCCGTTACAGCTACCGTAGCCGTTGTCAGGTAGTATGATGTGATTTCTTATTTAGTTAGTTAGCCGAGAATTTTTTGTATGATATTAGTTATGTTTGGATTGAATTGATTGATTGGGTTTTTGTTACATAGTGTGGTTTTTTAAATTTGTTTTTTATGTTTCATTTAATTAGAGTGGTTTTTTTTTTAATTATGGAGTCTCAGGTTTTCTTTCGTATATGGCCAATTATGAAGTGTGTTTTTTCTTTGTTTATTTATTTTTGATTTTGTTTCATACTCCCAGTTGACCAATTATTATTATTATTATTACTCCCTCCGTCCCATAATTATTGTCCAGTTTCACTAAAATAAAAGATTTTATTTTTAGTCAACTTAACTATATTTTACCTTAAACAACCGGATATACCCCTACATAAGTGATTGTTTAACCACTAAGATTTTATAGATAATATTTTTTACTAAGGACAAATGTGTAACTTGATCCATAAAAAGTCAAATTGGACAATAATTTTGGGACAAAATTTTTTGGGCAAAGTGGACAATAATTATGGGACGGAGGGAGTATTATTTTATTTGCAAATGAAGCACGTTTCTTTTTTTGTGTTCGGGGTTTCAAGAATATACTTTTTTGGATTTGGTTTTTGGACTTTTTTTAGTTTCTCATCATATAAATAGTTCAGGTCGCCTCTTTAAACTAATTTATGTGAAATCCTTTTATGAATTTGAGGTTGAGAGGGAAGGAATGATGTTTCTGCGTTCATTTGTGTTTTTATACATCATTTTTACCTACAGAAAAAAAAATTAAAAATTTTCAAATTTTAATGGGCTATCTTTTACTTTTTTTTTTTATTTACCATGGTGAGATAAGTTCTTTTTTCCTATATCTTGAAACCTATGCAAATTTACATTATTTTCATTCTCATATTTGTGATCTACCAGTTTCGACAATTAACCAGTTTTAAAATCATATTTTTGATATTTTACTACTTATAAACTTTTGGAAGAAATAGTTCCAACAATTAAGCGTATATCCTTTGGAGGAAGCTAACTACAGAGCTATTATAAATTTTGCCAAAAACAAACATCACACTTATAAAACATTTATAAACTTCTTCAAATATTTTTAAAATATATCGGGTCAAATACAAAATATTTTTTTTCAGATACAAACATTTCTAAAATCTACATATATATTGGATTTGCGCGACCAGACATTACTATATATATATATATATATATATATATATATATATATATATATATATATATATATAACAATGACCAACCAGCAATTCAAATCTTATTAGCTTTAGGGTTCTCTCGTGACATAATCTCTTAAAAAAACTGCTTAGGATAACTTCTTTTCTTTTTTGAAAGTCGAGCTTGGATCTTCTTGTTTCGTATGGAAAGACCCAAAGAATTCTTTTATTGTTATCATTCGTATGACTTTCAATCTTAAAAAGCTGCAGATTAATTAGAGGTCATATCCTTAAAGTTTAGGGCAATGTTTAATTCCTGGATAGGAATCGATGAAGCGTTGCAAACTTGCATTGCGAATTAATTGCTTCAGATGCTTAAAACAACTAGGAAATACTAGTACTCTTTCAAGTACTCCATATACTATACAGATTCATATTTTATATGTTGATGGATTCCGATAAAAATGTTATAACATCAGTTTAGTTGTAAAGAAAATTTGGGGTACTCCATTCAGCAGATACAGTTATTACAATTCAACAATAATTTTAGATTCTTTTCTTGTTTAAATCTAGAATGCCGAATGAGAAACCAATATGATTTTTTGAACAGTATCACAACCCTTCTTTTTAGATTTCTTCACTGACTCGTGCCTTCAGGGATTTTCAGATATTATCTTCAGTCCTCAAGTGTTTAGTTTTATCAAACAAGATAAGCTTATCGGTCCTAAATCTTATTCATTGCAAAATTTAGGAAGAGTCTGAAGTAGATATACATGACTTCTGAGCGAAGCTTTTTGATGCTGATTTGTGAATTTACAAAAGTTAGATTCTCGTTTGTTAGCGACATTGTTTTTCTTTCTGAGTTGGTGTTATGGTATACCTAGGTTTTAGGGTTAACGGGTTGGATTAACTAAATTTTGTAACTCAAAACAAGGACTAAACATTTATCGTGTTAATTTAAATTTGTGTTACTCAAGATATTACCAAATTATTATTTTACAACAACTATATTACAAGAAGCACCAATATTGACGAATTAATTGTCCAACTATATAGTATAAATGTGTCATCTTCCCGATTAGATTCAACCTAGATATCTATGATAGTATATGTTACAACTCGAATTCTTGTAATTATTGTGGTGTAGATGGTCAAGGAACGGTAAAATTTGGCCAGTGCAGTCACTTCCTATAAATCTTCAATTAAACAAGTTGTTGTTTAATTACTTCCTCATCAACAAGTTCAAAACTGGACCGACGAAAAGGAAAAATCGCCAATGAAGAATCAACGCAAAGAACCAAGGTTTGTTTAGAAGATTGATTTTGAACTCTATTAATTAGTGAAGAACATGCATTACGTAGGTCTCAGTTTCACAATAGAAACTTAACCCATCTACAGGTTGTTGAGTGTTGAGGTAGAAAGTAAACGATCAAGCGCACTTCATTCCAAATTTTGACGCATCTCATAAATCATTTCCACCACGAATTCATGCTCTTTAGCATGCACTCATGACTCAACCTTTTTAAATTTTTTAAATTTTTTTTTTATTTTGTAGTGTCAGGAAACCCCCGCATCTTTGCTCTAACAATTCAAAATCTTTTCCAACTAAAGTTTTTAGCTAGCTTCGTTCAAACGTTTATGCCTAATTTTTGAGTTTATCCCAAACTTATAAAATTGGAATGACATCCCAAGGTTCTCAAAGTTAAAAAAAAAAAGAGCAAAAAAAGATTCATCGTAACTTGCAAAGTAACAAAAATGACCTTATATAACAGGTAAAATTATTTAGACAATGTATTTATCAGAAAACAAGCAAGATTACAAAATTTGTGAACTTTAATTAATCTTCATTTGTTGCCAACAGTTGTGAAAATTCATAAATTTCATTTCTTTATGTTTTCAGTGAAGAGATATAGAAAAACTCAGATTTGGTATATTGACGTATACATCATTGGATTCAATAACTAATTAGATTTATTTATTCTTAATTGTGAGTATTAACTTTGTGATAAGTTCAACTTTTTTGGTAATTAATTAAGCTTTTCCAAGTAATTTTTTTCATTTAGAAATATTTTTTTGAAAAAAAAATAGAAAAAACATGAGGAAAAAACATGACAATGGGATGATTTTTCTAATTTTGATAACCATAGAACGTAATTGACCTATGTTAAAAGTTTAGGATAGATTCGCAAACTAATGTAAATGTTGGGATGTTTCCGCTCATATTCTTGATAAAATTTTTTAACATTGCACTTTTGACAATTTTATATGAGAGGGTAATGAGCAGATACATCACAATATTTACAATAATTCATGATTTATACCGAACTTTTAAATTGATTTATTACATCGGAGTATTATCAAAATTGGAGAAATTTATCCATGACCTTCAAAACAAATAGATATTTGGATTTAACAGGTAAATAAT